CAACCCAGCCAATTAACCCCAAAACCCAGCAGCCCAACCAAGGCCTTTGGGTCGAGAAACCTAGGGCCCTTGGCCCGCTAAACTCTTAACCCAAGACCAAAAAGGGCTTTGGTCCATGAGATTTAAACCCAACCCAAAATCCTTAGAATTTAAACCCTTTGGATTGAGACCTTTAGGCTATTCACCTAGGGTCTTCGGCCCAATTAACCCAATACCCTTTAAACCCTAAAACCTATTGGACCCAAACCCTTTAGGCCCAGACCCGTTGACTTTGAACCGGTCAACGATCAGCGTTGACTTTTTGGAGTTTCGTCTGGAACCCCTCATAGGCTAATTTCAACGTCTTGAATCCGTTTTTGATGTCCATTTTTCCAAATTAAATCATTTTAGTAGAGTTTTATTAATTGTACCTTTTATGTGCTTAGGGGCAATTATATGTGGCGTTACCATTTTCGCTAGTTTGCGTGGCTCTTCGACGACGAAGTATCTGTGAGTGAACCCTTTCTAAAAATGCATGTTTTAATAGTAGTAATGCATACATGATTTACTGATTACATTTTATGAGACAACATGCTTATTGAGGCTATTTTGAATTATTACTATTTTTCCTATAACTCGTGTTCTTTATAGAATATCTGATGGATGACGATATAATATTTAGAATACCTCTTTATAGTATAGATGATGGATGACTTTATACTATGAAGTTGCTTTTCAAATATATATATGTTCAATGGTTTTGTACTTACCTAGTGGTCCCTATTCCGCTACGGGGTGAGTGATATATTCCTTCACGGGCGAGGTTACAGTGTTGGCATAGGGCTTGAAGAAATAATCTCTAGCTACGGGCTGAGAGACATGGAGTTGGCACAGGGCCTGATGATGATTTTCCTCTAGCGTTGGCACAAGGACAGGGAGCTAGCACAGGGCCTGGAGTGTGATTGGACATTCACTAGCGATTACTATATACGAGATATGTTTTGACACATTGCATGGCATGCTAGGGTTTCGAAAAACCTATTTTATTTATCATGCTATATGTGTTTTCATAAAACCTGGGGGTTAGTATGTTGATAACTGTTTTATTATATCTATATCAACTTGGTCCACTCATGTTTGTTTTGCGCCCCTTTCAGGACTAGAATCAAGGCGTACAATCTTGGCGTCAAGGCACTTCCGCATCGGCATCTTCGAGTCCTCTCGGTGTAGGACCCATCCCTTGTTTCATTTAATTTTATATTCTTTTTTTAGTGTTCTAGTTGGTTGTACGCTATGAACACGTTCCTCAATTGCATATTAATTACTTTTAAATTTATAAGTCTTATTTAATTCTTGTTCTCAGCATTTGCATTCAATAAATGGCTTTTGTCGCCCTCAAGTGTCGGCTAGCACATGCCTATCCTGGTGTTCGCAGAATATCAGGATCAGGGCATGTCATCTTAAATATGCTTATGGCTATATTCGTAGTAAGTTACACAAAGGAATCATACTTCATTTTCTATAGTGGTTTTCAGTGGTTTTCAATATGCTCTTCCAATTGTGTTAAGTGGAGTAAAATTAGTCCCACATATGGATTATGGGAATGGTACAACTCAACAACCTTGGTAGAGGCACGGATAAGTGCATAACCAATGATCTCTTCCATTAAACGGAAGTAGATTCTGCAGGGTTGATGTAAGATCCCACATCGCCCGGGGGAGAGAAGGTGATATGCCATATATGTACATGCCCACCTCCCTATAGTGAGACGCGTTTTGGGTGGAAACTCAAGAACAAATCCGTGAGGGTGTGGTCCAAAGCGAACAATATCTTACTATGCGGACTAGGATGTGACAATTTGGTATCAGAGTCAATCCCCGGTCAGAAGTGTGCCAACGAGGTCGTCGGGCCCCTAAGGGGGTAGATTGTAAGATCACACATCGCCTGTGGGAGAGGAGGTGATGTGCCTTATATGCACATACCTACCTCCCTATAGTGAGATGTGTTTTGGGTGGAAACCCAAGAACAAATTCGTGAAGGCGTGGCCCAAAGCGAACAATATCTTACTATGCGGACTGTGATGTGACAGTTAATGTTCGAGAAAACTGTTCTTTATTCTTGTCAGCCAAGGAGCTTCAGTCATCAAGGATTTCCTTTCGTACATCACATTAGGACCTTTTCACTTCTTGTGTACAAGGCGGACCATGAGAATAGCCGAAGTAGGTGCCCGCTTGTCCACACTTCGGAGGGCCCTTAAATTTTTAGTTAAAATAATTATATGTATAATTTCTTACAATTCAAGCTCAATAAAAATATCAAAAAATAAAATAAAATCATAGACAATTGAAATAGAAATGGTTGAAAAATTAGATTATGTAAACTTAATTAGTACATTTGCATCTAATAATCGACATGTATAATATTGAAGTAATGTTTGTATATATTTTTTATATTAATTTTAATGATAGTTGATGTAGAAATAATTTTTTTTATTTATTTATGTATTTAGCAAATTTTTTTAATACATATCAATGTACAAAGGATCGAGGATAAAAAAACTCTTAAGGCCTCACTTCGAAAACTCGTCTAGGGTCGCCAAATTCTCAGGGCTGCTAGTGTAGTTTTGTGGAAGGGGTGTATCAATGTCATAATCTTGAACCATGTTAGCGTTTCAGATATCAACTCTGTGAACATGGTGAGATGTGAGGTGAACAATTTGCAAAAAACTTTATTTGAGAGAGAAGTAGAGCATCTACAGTGCAAATTCCTGAGGTCTCTTCCTCAGTAACTACATCGTAGTACCGTGAAATGTACATTACATGAACATAAGACAGAACGGCTCAAAGTACTTGCTAAGTTGCTAGAGCTGCATCTCAGCCCAGTAACTCGAAGAACCTTCGCTCTCGGCATTAAACGAGTGGAAAATAAGGAGGCGGCTAGATTACTGTTCCACTATGAATCAAGGCATCCTTGATCACTGTGACAATCCCGCTCTTTATGAAATATCCATCTGTTTCTCTTGCTGCTTCTTGCACATTGTCACTATTGACAATCTGCAATTCATACTCGTTGATGGTCAGTTTCACAAAGAATAAAAATGTAAAATGTTTTGAGTGATCGGCTAAGAAGAATCAAAAACTGTACAAATCATATTAACATGATACAATCCTTACCTTAACATTCTCTCCAATACGCGCATTCCATTATAGCTCTCCTAATGTGGGAATTCTTGCCAATACCAATTGGAACGCTGCCCTTCGCAGCTAGGAACCTCCTGTCAGCATCAGTCTGGGACAGTTACAACAATTGCAACAATATAATCTATCCAACCCATAGAAACGTCAAATGAACAATGACAGTATTTCTAAGGAAAGTCCATTCATCTCTATAAGAGCAGCTCCAGCGAGAGGAGTTGCTGGAGGGACAAGCTGAGGAACAGTGGGTTATTGCCCGAGGGAGGAAGTCCAGCGAGAGTAGGCCCAAGCAAGCGGGGCGTGGATTCGTGCTAGCTCGAGCGCCCCATGGCCATCTGACATGGGCTGACGTCAAGGAGACGTCAGGCGCACTTTTTTTATTTTTTCTATCAGGTGCATCGACTTCAAGCTCGCGTGGGCACGCGTAATCCGACATAAAATCAGAAATTGAGGCCCGCGGCGCACTCAAAAATCTTACCGTTGGGGAGCCACGTGGCTTCCCCACGGCCGTTAGATTACAACGGATATAATTTTGGACTGCTGGATTTCCAACTGTTAAAAAAAAAAAAAACTTCATTTAATACCAACGGTTAGATCTGAGATCAACGGTCCACGGTATTAGACTTTAAAAATAAAAAAGAAAAAGAAAAAACAGTTAAAAAATCATAAATGTTACCGTTGTGCCATGTGGCACAATCTGGAGTGTTGGAATTCAAATTGGTTTAAATCCAATGGTATAGATTAATTAGGTGAATAAAAAAAAATTTAAAAATGTAAAAAATTATTAAAAATCCGAAAAAAAAATTTGAAAAATGTAAAAAAACAATGATTTTACTTTTATATAAATACCTTCTCATTATCTTCTACCTTACATCACAATTTTATGTCTTCTCAAAGTTTCATTCCAATTTCATATATTGTCAAGTTTGAATCGAATTTCATAGTTTTATATATTTACTTTTCTATAAATTCAACATATATTGTCAAGTTTGAATTAGATTTCATACTTTTATATATTTACATTTCTATAAATCTAATTTCATATATTGTCAAGTTTCAATCCAATTTCATACTTTCTTAAATACCTATCTTTCTCTCAAAGTTTCAATCCAAATTTTTTCCAAGCAAATGACTAATGATGTAGGTATGAATTGGACGCTTATTGAAGATGTTACGTTGTGTACTAGCTGGGTTGAAGTTACTTATGATCCGATTTCGGGTAATGAGATGTAGTTGAGAGAAATGTGGGGTCTTATTCATACCAATTATCTTGAGAAAATTGCTGAGAAAAGAACCAAAGATTTTTTGTCCAGTCGTTGGAGACTACTGACCACCGCCTCCAAAATGATACATTTTGATCATTTTCTATCCCCATAAGCGACTTGCCATGCACTTGGACAGTTTTTCCAAGTCCAGTGCATACAGTCAATGCTTCCAATCATCCTTGGAAAACCTTGCATCTCCTCTTTCTTCAGAAGCCTTTGCAAGTCCATCTCAGTAGGGTTCTAGAGGTACTCTGCGGTGTAGATAGATTTGATTGCCGAGCAAACCTCATCAGGGACTCAAGAATGGTTGATTTTTCCATCTTCGCTATCTTGTCTACTTGGTTTGCAAATGTTCCATATGCAAGCATCCGCAAGGCAGCAGTAATTTTTTGCTCAGGCAGTAGACCCATAGCACCAAAAGCATCCGGCTTTTGTACAAAGTAAGAATCATGGTTGCAAATAACGCCCATGATTTTTTGAACAAATGACGTTCCATTCTAAAACGATGTCTAAAGTACGTATCAGGGAATGCACTTTTACGGACAAAATAATCATCCAAGAGATCCTGACCTCGTCGCTGCCTGCTTCTATCAATGTTTATAGCGTGGCTAGGCCTGCAGATCTGAGCCACAGCTTGGATGACTTGACGGGAATGTGAGGCTCTTGCCATTCTTGATTCGTCAGCTCTCCGTTTACGCTCCTCATCCTCTTCCTTCTCATTTTGGGCCGCATGGCGTTTGAACATTCCTTCTGATTGGTTAACCAATTCTTCCTCTCGTTGATCGATTTCCCACATCATCCTTGACGAAGAAAAATACATTGTAAGAAGGAAGCAAAAACTATGAATAATGATAGACATTTAGGTGAATAAGGAAGCAGAAACTATGAATAATGATAGAGATCTTGAGAAAATTGGTTTAAGATTTATGAGGATGGATGGTGGATTATATGGAGGATTTAGAAAGGATTAGGTTGTAGATAATGTCACGTGGCATGTCGTCATTCGTTAAAAATCTGGTGGAAATCTATCCTCAAAGATTGTAAACAGATTGTGACACGTGGTGCGATGTGATTGGTTAAAAATCTTATCAAAAATCCATCAACAATAATTGTCTTTTTGCATAATGACACGTGGCGCAACGAGAACGATTAAAAATCTTATCCTAAATTACTAATAAAATTATTTTGAATTATTTTATAAATAAAAAAAATACTAATATTTTATTGCTATTGTCTTTTCGGATAATGACATGTGGCGCAACGAGAACGATTAAAAATCTTATCCGAAATTACAAATAAAATTATTTTGTATTATTTTATAAATAAAAAAAATATTAATATTTTATTGCCAATTGCCAGGGGTATTGAGTGCAGGGGTGAAGATGCAAAAAACGATTACTGTTCATTAAGGACAGTTACTGTTCACTAGATGAATAGCATAGTGAATTGGACAATTGACTATGCTGGAACTGCTCTAAAACAAAAAGGTGTTTATACAGTCATGTCTTGACTTCAGATAAAAAGCAGCAAGTGCTCAATCTACAGCAGGTTTTACCTCATAGTAGTCAGCTCTCATGAGTAATGTGTCTTCAATGACAGCACCCTTTGCTATGCAAGACTGAAGCCCAACGACTGAATGGTGAATTTTACAGTTCTGCATTTATGTAAAAGATAAGGTTGGATTAAATGAGTAGGACCGCAGTAGGTTTTACCGATCCCTGTTTCTTGCAACAATAGCACATATATGCAAGTTTTTCTGAAACTGAACATGGGACTAGTATATGACACCATAATGGAACAATTTGGCAAAATGCTGAATTTTTCTAGAAAGAACTTACCTTTATTACACATCCCTCGCCAATAACACTATATGTGACATCAGCGTCAAGCATTTTGGGATAGAGGTAAATACCGAGGTTGGGTGAAGATTGGGGATGAACAATAAAAAAGCTATGGTATAAAGTTCAAAATTAGGCCGGAATACTAAATCCACATCAAACTGATAGCATAACATACGTATTGGCCAAACAAAATAGGAATACAAACAAGTTATAGAAAAAAAGGTACCTGAAATCTGGAACTGGTTTTTTGGTTATCCCCAAGTTTGCATTGTAGAAAGTTGAAAGCCTCAATGGTACCAATATCTTCCCAGTGGCCATCATACAAATAAGCTTGAACCTGTAGGCATTAATAACTAGTATTCCGGGGGGCTGAATATCCGGATGAAGGGTAGTGGGGGACAAAAAGTATGGAACTAGGAAATATTTAGCAGATCATATAAAATCAATTTAGGACATTATCTTTTTCAGTACAAAGGGGTTCGTTTAGTTTCGAATGAAAGATATTTGCAATTATGTAATACCAACAATTATTCCAAATCTTTTCCACCTCTTTTGATTGATCTTTCTTAGAAATTACAGAATAAACTATATGAATGAAAACTTACCCTCAAACCGATGGAAGTTGCGCTTGGAATAACTTCACTCCCGAAATTATTTGCACCAGGAAACTTGTCTCAAGGTAGCTCTAACATGACATTTTTGTTCACAACAGATATACCCATGCTGGCAATTTAAGGCATCTCTTTAGCTCTCTCATCATCAAGACCCAGGATAGTAGTATCAACCTATATAACAAAAACAGAAACAACAACATTTTGCATCACTAATCAATCACACACCTAAACCCACAAGCGATTGAAGTTCACAATGAAACGAATATGTAATGCACTAAATAATGTAAAACAACCTGCAGTTGGATTGTTCACCTTCATAGCTTTGAGTTGCTCCCCTTTAGGTTTCTCAGCAAACTTCATCAAACCGAAGGCGGTATCATGCTTCTCATCCATGGGCAGAGCAGCCACAGTGATGTCTGCATGCACCTGAATAAATCTCTCATAGTCCATCCTATATAAGTGGTCCCTAGCAAGAACCAAAAACTCCAACACATTGTGCTCCTCAAACAACCACAAGTACTGCCTCACGGCATCAGCGGTACCCTATAAACCACCAAAACCAAATATCCAAACTCAAAAACCAATCGAAACCCAATTTCCAACACAACCCCGCAATTTGTCAACAAGCTTTTAATCACCTTAAATCAATTGGGATTCTCAGGGCTCTGCTGGGTAGCAAGAACCTCAACAAAGCCTTCATTTTTGTAGCCACCCATGTTACTGGCATAAGCACCAGAAAGATGGCGATTGAGCGAATCGGAATTGAACTAGGTCAGCACATAGATCTTGGACACGTTACTGTTGAGGCAATTACTGACTGGGATATCGATCAGCCTGTAGTTTGCTCCCAATGGAATAGCATGCTTCGCACGCTTCTTGGTCAATGGGTAAAGCCTCGTCCCAGCTCCCCTGTTAAAGTTGTTAGGATTTTCTTAGCCACTAGGGTTAGACTTCCTTGTTTTCAGGTCTACTTACGTAGTTGTTAATAATTGCTGTTTTTAAGGAACAAGTATTGTTTCACGTTTAGTTTAAAGACTAGTCAAATACCACGATTCTAGGTGCTGTAAATCGTGGGCTGTTGCATTTCCATTCTGTTACTTTGCAGGGTTTTAAGAAGCCATTGCTATCTTTGAATTCAATAAGAAATTATCCCTGCAAAGCAAGTGCGTATCAAACTCCCTTTTACTCAGTCTCTTGTAAACACGGTGAGAAGAGGTAACAATCCCTTTTACTCAGTCCCTTTTAATCAGAGCCCCACCACGGGGCCTAATCAAAAGTCTTAAAGTAAACACGATGAGAAAAGGTAACAATATGGCTGGTGAAAGCAATTTTGTGCAACCAGCCATTCCTAAGTTCGATGGGCACTATGATTATTGGAGCATGCTCATGGAGAATTTTCTGCGATCCAAAGAATACTAGGGTTTGGTGGAAACTGGGATCCCTGCAACTATAACTGGGGTGGATCCTACAGAGGTACAGAAGAAGAGAATTGAAGATCACAGGTTAAATGATCTGAAGGCGAAGAACTATCTGTTTCAAGCCATTGATCGATCGATATTGGAGACAATCTTGAAGAAGGATACAACGAAGGATATTTGGGACTCCTTGAAGCAGAAATATCAAGGCACGGCCCAAGTCAAACGTGCACAGCTACAAGCTCTTTGCAAAGAATTTGAGGTGCTTCACATGCAGGTGGGAGAGTCGATGAATGATTACTTTACACCAACTTTCACCATTGCCAACAAGATTGAAAATTCACAGAGAACAGATGGGTGATGTGGTGGTCATTGAGAAGATCTTAAGGTTCATGACTCCAAAATTTGATTACACTGTGTGCTTCATTATGGAGTAAAATGATATTGACAGTTTGTCCATATACGAACTTCAAAGCAGTTTGCTAGTTCATGAACAAACGAATAAGTAGGCATATGGTGGATGAACAAGCACTGCAAGTCATGAATGAAGCTCAGCCAAGAGGACGAAGTGGGGGTCATGGCTCTTATCGAGGAAGAGGAAGAGGACGAGGCTGATTTGTGTTTAACAAATCCATAGTTGAGTGTTACAGTTGTCATGGGCTTGGCCATTTTCAATAGGAGTGCCCTAAAAAGGAAAAGCAGGCAAACTTTGCTGAGACAAGTGAAGAAATACTGCTCATGGCTTATGTGGATGACAACAAAGCTAGAAGTGATTGCGTATGGTTCCTGGATTTAGGGTGCAATAACCATATGTGTAGCAAGAAAGAGATTTTCTATGATCTTAATGAAAGCTCCAAGGATTCAGTCAAATCGGGAAATGACGTAAGCTTGAAAGTACAGGGAAATGGCAGAATTCGAATAGAGATAGATGGGACCATGCACGTGATTACTGAGGTGTTCTATGTGCCAGACTTGAAGAACAACTTACTGAGCATTGGGCAACTACAAGAGAAGGGTCTTGCAATTCTCATGCAACACAGAACTTGCAAGATTTTTCGTCCTAAGAGGGGTTTAATCATGGAAACTGCCATGTCACACAATAGAACGTTCATTATCATTGCTCGATGTCAGTCAAAGGAACAAAGGTGCCTTGTCTCCCTTATCACAGACGAATCCCAACTTTGGCATTGTCGATATGGGCACCTAAGCTGGAATGGTCTCAAAGTTCTTCAACAAAAGAAGATGGTTGAGGGTATGCCACAATTCATAGCCCCTCTTAAAGTTTGTGAAGATTTCTTGGTGGGGAAACAACGAAGGGACTCAATCCCAAAGGAAAGCACATGGAGGGCATATGGAATTCTTCAGTTAGTACATGCTAATATTTACGGGCCAATAAATCCAACATCAAATAGCAAAAAGTGGTATCTTATCACCTTTATAGATAACTTCAGTCGAAAGACTTGGGTGTATTTTTTGGTGGAAAAGTCTGAAGCTTTCATTGTTTTTTAAAACTACAAAGCTAGGGTTGAAAAAGAAATAGGAGCATACATAAGGCCTTTCGCACTGATCGTGGAGGTGAATTTACATCACAAGAATTCACTAATTTTGTGGTGTGAATAGGATTCGAAGACAACTGACAGTTGTATACACTCCCTAGCAAAACGGAGTTGCTGAGAAGAAGAATCAAACAATTATGAACATGGTTCAAAGCATGCTTTCTGGAAAGCATATTCCAAATTTTTTTGGCCTGAAGCAGTTAACTGGATTGTGCATATTCTTAATAGAAGCCCCACACTTGCTATGAGAAGCAAGACACCAGAAGAGGTATGGAATGGAGTCAAATCATCAGTGAGTCATTTTAGAGTTTTTGGATGTATCTCTCACGTCCATATACCTGATAACAAAAGAGTAAAGCTTGACAACAAGAGTCTAAAATGCATTTTCTTTGGGGTGAGTGACGAGTTGAAAGCTTACAAATTATTTGACCCGATTTCTTAGAAAATAATTGTGAGCTGAGATGTTGTTTTTGAAGAAGATCAAAGTTGGGATTGGGAGGCTTGTTATAAGAAAGCCATTGTGGCTAACCTTGAGTGAGAAACAGATGAAGGAGAGGGTACAGAAGTTAGTGACAATGAGGAGGAATCAGAAGCTAGCAGCACTGAAGAAATGGATCATGGTGTTACCCAAGAAGACTCGTCCCATGACGAGACTGATGAAAACTCACCCCATAAGGCATGGACACGAAGACCACTAGCATGGATGAGAGACTATGAGAGTGGGCAAGGTCTTTTTAAGGAAGAAGACTTAAACATTGCTTACTTGGCTTTGTTCACTGACAGTGATACTATATTCTATGAAGATGCAGTAAAGAATAAGAAATGGAGGCAAGCCATGAACTCAGAGATCGAGGCAATAGAAAGAAATGATACGTGGGAGGTTACAAAGTTACCACTTGGCAACAAAGTTATTAGGGTGAAGTGGGTTTTACAAGACAAAACTCAATGAGAATGGAGAAGTAGATAAGTACAAGGCGTGACTCATTGCAAAAGGCTACAGTCAAAAGTATGGAGTAGACTATGCTGAGGTATTTGCACCTATGGCTAGGTTAGACACCATTCGAGTTGTGATTTTGTTTACTGCGTAGAAGGGTTGGATGATCTATCAATTAGACGTCAAGTCTGCTGTTTTATATGGAGAGATAAATGAAGAAGTTTTTATGACTCAAACTCCTGGTTATGAGAAAAACGGGACATGAACACAAAGTGTACAAGCTTCAGAAAGCCTTGTACGGTCTTAAACAAGCTCCTCGAGCTTGGTACAGCCATATAGAGACTTATTTTGCCAATGAAGGTTTCAAGAAGTGTCCATATGAACATACTTTGTTCATCAAAACAGTGGATAGAGGTAAAGTTGTGATTGTTTGTCTTTATGTTGATGATCTCATAGTTATTGGAAATGATGAAGTTATGTTCAAAGATTTCAAACGGTCCATGATGATTGAATTTGATATGACTGATCTCGGAATGATGAAGTATTTGAAGGAAGATTTGTGAAAAACATGTTCATTTAAGCAACATCAATAGCATGCAATTAACAATTAAAGGCGGAATCATGCTTGTATGCACTTAAAAACAAAACATTTACCCATGAAATTCAAAGCCTAGTAGATAGGTGAACCAAGACTCAACTCAAAACAAAGTGAGTTGAGAAATCAATACCTTTGTAGATTCCTCTTTGCAAAAGCAAAGGCTAATCACCCAAAGAGAGGACCTTCATTCCTTGCATCTTAGATCCATGGATTTGGATGGATGAAAAAGTTTCTCCAAGTTCCCAAAATTGAGAACCTCTAATGATTCATCACCAAGGCATAATGAAGAAGAAATGAGTGACCTTGGAGGAGTTTGATTGCTAGATGATCCCTCCAAGGTGGCCTAAATTTTAGAGAGAAAGGAGAGCTTGTGTTCTCGTCCTTTCCCCAAAAATTACCATATGTAAATTTTAGGCTATAAAGTCATTTACATAGTCCCTTCAAATAAGTGACCTAATGGACCAAAAGCCCTATTCTTCTAACATAGCAAGCCTATAGGGTTTATTGGGCTTTCAAGCCCTTTGTTTATTCAAGTTGTCATACAACTTGAGTTAATGGGCTTGACATTCAAATCCCATTGGGCCTTGCGGCCCAAAACTAACCCGAGGTCTTTAACGAACTTATTTGTTTGATTAATTAACATATTAATTAATCCTAGCCTTAGATAAATAATTAAACCATTTAATTATTCTTACTCATCTCCGTTGTTTCTTCAAACTCTACCTTACTCGGTGAACGATCCATTAGGTTCCTTTTAGCGAGGCAGTGGGCGATTAAAACTCTTTTTAATCGATTGTGAATTGAAACTTACTTTCAATTCTCCCGTTAGTGATAATACACTTTTAGGGCTTCCACAAACCATGGTTGACGCCTAGCAGCATGTCATGGTTACCCAAGCTAATCAGAAGAGGTGGAAAACCTATTCAGTTTTAGGATTACAAATGCAATACGGTCTTTCTCTAATACAATACTCTTGACCACATTGTTTGGTTTGATAGTTTATTCATGTCTACTATCCAATGTGAGTCTTGTGCTTATATGATTACCTTGAATGTGATTTGGAACACATTCCTAAATCTCATTCATACTTTGGCCAAAGATTCTTAATCATATCATAGAGTATTCTCCCTCAAACAGTTTGAAGGTTAGAGATCCCTTGTTGCGCATTCACTTGCCTCCATGGCTAAGTGGCTTAACCCCAACGATGCCATGGACACCCTCCTGATGGAGTGACTTTGACATAATCAAAGATTAAGGACCTAACCACAAGACAACTGTGATGCCTCAGGTCAAAAGACTAATTTGCATTATCCCAACCATGAGTTCTCATGTGACATGAATATGAGAACTCTTCGTTGATCGTGTTCAGTGAACTCATTCTCTATTGAGCACCTACGTACTTTTCTTGATGTCACACACACCAATGACTCAAGACTAGTCACTCTCCCTGAGAGAAGACATAGCACGTACTG